GACCCACTTACCCCAATTCTTTCGTTACCTTCAGCGTGAATCTCATTTCGCAACCGATCCGTCCGTAATTTTATCCCATTTCGTGAACAATCTGCACGAGTGTGGGACGCGCGGTGACCCGCGACTTCGCTAAAGTGGGCCTGATGAATCTTGTTCCGACTTTAAAATTAGAAACAGTGTAATAGCCAGATAACTTTGGTCTTGATTGGTCCAATGATGACAAAATAATCGAAACTCGCACTCCACGATCTCCTTCCGACTCTTGCATCGTTCCTAACTTCGCCCACTGTGCTCTAATCGCGAGTAACGGAATGTAACGAGGCGACGTGATGCACACAAGTGGTTTACCAAGAGTTTCGCTTACAACACTTTACACGACTATCAATCACCCTTGTTCGTCTTCGCGGAACATTTCTTGTTACATCGTTACTGTACCCGAATCAAAAGTATTCGACGATCCATTAAATCATAGAAATCTCGCAGCGAGTTAGGGGTTCAATTTTTGAACTAGGTCCTCGAAGGGGTAGTTTGATACGTGGAGTAGTTGTGGTTTTTCACAAATTAGTTGCGGTGGAACTGTATACTTAAGAGTTTGCGCATGTAACACATGAATATGCATCGTATGTAGAGTGCAAAAACATTTTTATTTTTTTTTCACATAGTCAATTTTTATTCAACATGGCGCCCTTATACCGATGTTCGTTCGCCATCAATCTGACTTTCAAATTTGAGAAAAGATTCTTATTTACAAATGCATGATTCACGATTCGAAATAGGATCTTTTCAAGAATGTGAAAAATATCAAAGTGTTAGCGTTTTAAACTCTTTTTTACTATTTTTATGCTTTCCTTCCAAGCTTTCTTCTTACAGATCTTATTTTCGTAATTGCAATCCTAGAATAGAATCTTTTCCACAATGTTTCCAACCACGGAAACTATCGTTCCACGGAGAAAACGAATTTTCTATTTCTTAAAATCGTCAGCGACCCTTTAAATTGTACAAGAGTACTCTTTTATCGAGTTGATGACGTCTGTTGACCACGCAATCGGGAGTTCGCGATAAGAAGAGCATTTTGTAAAATCTCCAACGAAATATCAGTCCATTCTTTCCTATCCTTTAACGAAAAGTTTCGGTTTGAAGTCGCGGAGATGGGAAAAATTCCCTCGTTGTTTTATCCGGCTCCATCGAGTTTCCTGACTTCGGGAACGATGATTCGTGTTGAGCTAACTCCAGTTGCTTTCTTTCGGCGCCACTTCGTGTCGTTATATACACTGGGCGATTCAGGGAATTCGAAGGGAAGGGTAATAAAGGCGGTAACGTCATACCTTCGTAGACCTGCTGACTCTTCAACTTCTTGGGATTTATCCGAGACCCTCCATTTTCCGCAGATCTTTTTACCTTCGTCGGGGATGCAGAAGCTTCTGTCTTCGATTTCTCAAAAACGATGTCGATACGAACACTTTACCAGCATTTAGTTATCTATACCTAAAATTGTGTTACTTTCAAAGTTAAAGAGAATACACTCGGTGTTTATGGACAAAATCACAAGTAAGTGATAAGAAAGTAAAATTCTAAGTTAGACTTGTATTAAATGTAATATTATCGTTAAAAACGAGAAAATTATTCGAATATCAAATATCTGAAAGTATTTATTTAAAATTCTGTAGAAGTGTAATCCAACTCTGACGCAACTACATCAAAGTTAATGTGATTCAAGTAAATACGAAGGAACATGTATGTAAATTATGTGTGAGAACCGCCACGTGAACTGCTAGTTCCTTAGATATACCTATGATTATGATTCAAATATGGTAAATTCAGAGTTGCATTACATGATAAGTAGAAACTTGGGAGTGGGGATTCAAATTATTTGGAATTAGAGAATAGACTACAAAGGTAAAGTTTCATCAAACATTCGAGTCATTGTTGTTAATAAAATAATGACAGCATTACGTAAAAAGGAAAACGTTTCTCAATCAATTGCTTACATTCTGTCGTTATCTGTGTATTCCTATGTTAATTTGTACATCTTGCTAGCAGACTATCATTAAGCTTTGAAAACTATTGGAAACCAGTCATGGTGATGTTGGTATTTGCATTCTGGTAACAAGGTAATCTACTACTCGCGTAACGCAAGTACAGTCACGTATTTAGTTAGTGTAGGTCAATTACTTTTCTGGTCCGGGACAAATTGACCCTAATCGACTAGTTATGTAACAAGTCCTTCTATCTATGAATTGTCGGTTAAAATAGAAATCTCGTTCGTTTACGTATGCTTGTTACTGTCAACATTTGACAAGTTATTTTAAAACTGAGTGACTCTTATTATAAAATGTTTCTTTACTCCGTTAACAATTTTTGGTCCCTTTTATTGATCATTCGAATTGATTAAACTAAGTCAATCAAGTGCTCACAATTAAATTTCTTTTGAGTAGCAGTTTCATCGTGTATTCATACTTCTGTAGATCTATTTACCTCCCACTTTCGCTTCCGTTTGTTTTTCTGCACTGGTTAACATCCATCCTTGTGCTCCTTGAGCAAAACAGTGGAACGACACCTCAACGAGGTTCTGAATTGGATCGAGTCCTTAAGTGCCACATAACCGTTTATGCGTGAAACTTATGTTGCTATACTAACGTTCCCAAATAAACTTGCTTTCGATACTTAGAAAGATACTAGAAAGATACAATATTTTATTGAATATAATATTTCCCTTGAATTTATTTAGAACACTTTTCAGTGCATCGTTCTATTTGCAATTAAGAACGTAAATTATTATTATTCGTTAAACACGAAACGTTTGTCTTCGTTTTCGAAATTTCGTTCAATATCCGGTGGCATTCGATAACTTTACCGCTTTCTACGTCAGTGGTTACGTGCACTATATTTTTCTAAGTAATTTTTTTTTTTTAGAAACGAATTTAATTATTCAGCTCATAAAACCAATTCGCTAGTTATACGAGATGATTTAGATATCAATGTTTTGTTTATTTTCCGTTTAAAGTGACTGAACCATAAGGCAGAATTTGTCAGGAGAGCCTCACTCACGTGTTTACTGGCAGATTCGGGACAGAATCTAGTAATTAGGCTCTTGATACCAAAGGAATTACTCCTCGTACACTGATCCTTGTTATTAATTGTATTTTACTTTTTATTTCGTCTGGATACTCGGGGTGGAAAGTTACCGTTCGAGGGAAGGAAAAGAGTTCCACGAAGGAACGGAATTCTACAATTTATGACCCAGCCGGATCGAGCGTTCGCCATAGTATCGTAATACCCCGCGATATAAAGCCTCCCCATTGCACGTATCTGCAACATCCGGGCACACGTTGCACGTCATATAGATGTTACAATGCAGACCGATTCCCGTGAGTTTTTACTCCCCGTGTCATAGAAAATTTATTCTAAAAATAATACAAACAGGACGCGTTTGCACTAGTCGGACGGTTATTTTTCGTTACCGCGGCGGTCCCATCTGCTCGCGGATTTGCGTTTCTACGTTTGCCATAATGCAATGATACACCTGTACACCTATATTTATTAGCAATATTTCTTTTGCGGTTCTGCTCATACCTCGACCAAAGAGTATATTTTGACAACGGGGTTTTCGATGCAGATAACTAGAAATATGTATTGATAAAAGTATTTCGTAATCAGTAATCATAAATGTTTAAAACATTTGCAAAGTATCGTTAGGACGAAGATAAAAATGACAAAATATGTTTTGAAATATCAATGTTGTAATATGTGTATCTTACTAATTTAACTATGCACTCTATGATTTTATACTACAATATTTCTGGAATATTGGAATGGTAACATATAGGGTTAGCGATTTGAAATGTTCAAAAGTGGGGACGATAACTTCGCGTGCCTCCCCGTGGACACATAAATCCAAAGAACGATGCACAGATGGCATCTACACGGCAAAGTCCGTCGCTTCGTTGCGTCTCGCACGAGCGCTCCAGAATCGCGAAGAAAAGCTACCTAATATAAATTCATGCCGCGTTCTCGAAAATTACGAGCGATATCAAGCGAAGGAAACAGTTGCCAGGTCGGCCACCGCGGGACACTTTGTCTCGTTAACGTGACCGAACGTCTACCGACAAATGTGAAATAATTTTAACACCAGTTCCCCGTAGAACGGGAATTTTCGAGTCTCGAATAAATTTCTTTATCACTTCTTTCGTCGTATCGCTTCGAGGATAGCTTCTGACCTGAATTGTAATTGGAGCAACTTAAAGCTGGAATTGTTAAAATATTTTATATAGGCACTCATACAAAATTTTCAAATTCCACTTCCACTTAAAAATGAATATGGTATACGATACATATAACATAATTATTAAATAAATAACATATATCATTTCTTACATGAAAATTAACTGGTAAGAAATGATAAATGTTAGTTATTTAATAATTATGTTATTAGTTTTGTTCTGTTTTATTGTGTTGTTTGATTCTTTTTTAAAATTATTATAATTTATCTTGAATAAATTACTTTCCAAAAGAACATTTGGAACGTTCGAATACTCGAACGTAGGAAAGATTGGACAAATGGTCTCAGACCAAGCACGAAGACGGAATTGTGCGTTACTCAACTTTTGCGATAATAAATGCATAACTTCCGAGAACTCGTTCGAAGGAAACGGAAAGCCTCGTTTTAAACAGCGGCGGATCCGTTGATGCGCTGCGTTAACAAGTTGCAGGGAACTTTAAGTTTATAACGAATGCGACTTTATATAATGAAGAAAGTTGTAAATGAACTGAAAATCCAGCGACTCGCACAGTCGTCTACATTCCTTGGCAAACGCGTCTGGAAATATTTTTAAATGACCCGTACGGAAATACGTGTGACAATTATAAAGGAAGGACTGAAACGTTTTAACCGACAAAGGAAGGCAAACCGCGCTTGTAATTGCATTTGTTTTCATTTTTATCAACACTTATTATTATGTTTTATAAATGATTCTAAAGCAGTGTTTTTTCTTTCTGTGCAGCACGTCGATTGAACGAATATATCCACCACTACGAACCACTCTCCTACCCTACGGAAGAGATCCACCGAAGTCACCTAAGGGCCAAGAGGTCGGTTACCCGCGACAATTCCGTCACTCTGAAGTTTCGGTCGCACGGAAGGGACTTTCACATTCGACTGAAGCGGGACCTGACTACCTTTAGCAATAACCTAATTATCGAGGGCCCTTCCGGCGAAGCGGAGGACCTCGACACCTCGCACGTTTACCAAGGCCACGTAGTTGGTAAGTTTTCTGAACTTTTTCCAAACTCAATTAATAAAATTCACTATAATTTCATTCATAGTACGTTTGTTTATAAATTCGGACCTTAGTTTACAGATCTTCCTTTTTCTTTTGTATGTAGTACATGTATTATATAATTTTCGTTATATATTCTTTGGTCGTGTTTTTATCAAGTATATAAGATCACAAAACCAATCGACTGTTTTTATGTTATCTGGCTCGATACTAAATACAATCATTAGTAAGACACTCGAAAATAAAATTACAATTTATATTTTAGAACGATATTACATCTGCTGACTAATTGTCCAATCGAATCCACATTGGAAATAATTTCAATCCTTTGTCTATTACTCCATTAAAATATTACCCGTCTCCATCGAAATGCCAAACTCTGCTATAGATACGTCGCGTTGTAAAACACGGACCGACGTATGAAATAGTTTAAACACAAAGTGAGCCTCTTCCAGCATAAATCACGATCCGTTTGCTCCCTAAGTGTGCGCTGTTACATTCTGAACTCTGACCTCAGCGAGATAGTACCGTTCCACGGTATAGTCAGCGCATTACATCCACCGTACACCCACGTTCCTCGCAGTATCCAGGTGTGGCACGCAAAAGTGCGTGTCACGGTAGATACCGGGTGAGACCTTTATTTCCAGCGGAATAATTTACGGAAATTCGCGCGCAAAGGGACGGTTTTAAATTATGGATTCGTTCGTTGGAAAAGAAGGGGAATGGGGGAGGGGGGGGGAGTGTTGGGACGGTTTATCTTTCACTTTTGTGCTTGCCACCTTCCGGCGACCTGGTTATGTCCCGCAGAACAGGAAGATAAAGTCCCTTACTTCGACTGTTCAATTAGAAAACGTTTCGAATAAATGCCTGGCATTTACGTGTCGTGGAAATTGGGTCGGAGAGAAGAGCTCCGGGATTTTTCATCTACAGTGATTATCAATAGCTACGTGATAATATTTTGCATAAAAATTATTCTTTTAGAGATGTTGAAAACTTTAATAGCTATAATTTATTGGCAAAAATTGGAAAATCAGTGATTTACTCTAAAAACAAACAGACTAGAACTTCGCTAAATTGCAGCACGCCCAAGTTTCAAGGAAATCCGACATATTTTCACGAAAATAGAGCCACGGGGGAGAAAAAAGTTTCCGCACAGCTTCGAGTTATTTTTCCTCAAAGACTTACAATTACCGTCGCGCTTTGTGTTTTCTTTACCACCCCTCCCTCCCTCCCCCCGTTCTTTTTATTTTCGCGTATTGAACGCCTTGCAAAAATGGAGCGTGCGGCGCAAAAAGAACAGCTTCCTAGAAGAGAGAATTCCATCTCGTGCTTGTTCCCTCTTTATGATAGCGATAGTGTTTCCACAACTGTAAAAATAAAAATGGATAATAGAAATGGAGAAAAAGTGTTTATCGTACATTTTTTTGCTTTTCCCTTCGAGTGTTATACGACAGATGTGGTTTTTTAAAATGGCGTCGTCTCGGTTACACGCACAGAAAATCGACGCTCTCGACGCTAGTTTTCGCGTGATCATTTGTTGGACGCGGTTGGCGGTGTAGTTAATTTTTTCATTCCAAGTCTGAAATGAAACGGGGGTCTTATGTCGTCCTTCCATACGCCATAGTCCATCTACCTTTCTATGCATTCGTTGGAGATACGTAATTTTTTGCCGAGAAACAATTCCCAGTGGAATTGAAAAAAGCATAAAAATTGGTTTAACGAAGTACGTTCCATTACATCTTTCATCGGGTTTCATTCTCTCGTTTCATCGCTTTTAATTCCACTGTTTTCAGAGGTAAAAGGTGATGTATAGTAACGATTGCGTTATTATACATCATAAATAAAGATCTGAATTTAATTTTGAAGTTAATTATAAACATAGAATTTCACAATTCAAATTTTAATTTAAAATTCTTAACGTCATTTTGCGAGCAAACATTAATCGTCGAAAATTTGATGATACACGTATGTTTAATGCCTATGTTTAATTTGATTCGTCTTTGTTGAAGCTTTTTTCCTTAATATTCTCAAGCACAATAATTCCAAATCGTTAATACTGTATGTAGCTGAAGAGGTGACGAGCGGTGCATTTTTGCTCGCTTAGCTTTTGAATATTCCCGTTCGTTCGTCAATCATTGCTGAACATCGTTCTTTTTATTTTCAGGCGAGCCTGGCAGCCACGTGTTCGGGAGCATCAGCGACGGTGTTTTCCACGGGAAAATCATTTCGCCTCGCGGTGGCGCGTGGTACGTGGAAAAGGCGCGCTATTACTTTCCACCGCACGAGATAAACGACACGTTGCATTCCGTAATCTATCACGAAAATGACATCGGCGATCCGTACGCCCATCTTCGGAAAGGTTTGTTTCAGTCCCCTACATATCTCGCAGAGCAACGACAATTTTGCGACAACTGCGCAAAACGTTTTTACTCGTCTTTCGTCTTATTATGCTATTCTTATCTTATTATTCTTTTCTTTTCATTACTATTATCGTCGATAAAAATAGAAAATTTTCTAACTACATGATACATAATACATAAACCTAACCTAGTAACAATAACAATGATATTTGAACGAACAATGGCTACACGCTAACTCCGTGACTCGAATATCGGAGCATAAATCGCAACCGAAAAGTGAAACAATACAGTAGTGACACATTAATCATGCAATACTCAGATGGCACAGGTAGCACATTCAATGCCCTAATGTTCCGTAGAATACAATTCTATTGTATAAACAAGTAATCAGGAATGGATACGTAGCGAGCTAAAGTAGAAAGCAATCGATTCGTGAAAAGGAATCGTTCCTGCAATCAGAGAGTCTATTTAATGCATGTTCGTACGTACTATTGTTGTGTCATAATGGAGGTGTTATTATTTTTATTATTATGATGAGGAATCCATTAATAACCTAAAACGAAACGTCATTTGGAATTGAGAAGCATCCACTAACAGGAAAATGCTTTTGCATCATATCACACACTTTGAACCTCTTTTATTTTATTACCACGATAATCATAATTCAAATTAAAAATGGTTTCTTGAGGACAGAAAGCCTGATTGAATCTCTAATGCAATCAGAGCTACGAACCAGTTGGCTAAAATAGACTGGTTCCTTCTGTATAGGAGTTGATTAGGTTCCCGAGGATTTTGGAGCCGGAACGAGGCTAACAGGAGAGGTCAAGGTTTAGGAGACATATCTTAGAACATGAATCAGGATTCGCTGACACAGAAGCTAGGATAACGCAATGCTCTAATGACGTTGGACTCGAGTAATTCTTGAAAAAAATCAGATCTAGATAACCCATTTACTTTCTTGGTTATGTTTTTTTTATTTTTTCCTTACCACACAGAGTTTACTATAACTCGTTTTCTAACTGTTGGAATGTGTAGGTATTTTATTTTGTTGTGTTTTATATATTTATTCATCCTCGTATATTTTCTTATGATTACACTTGTCATAAATGCATAATCCGTAGCGCGACTGTAACAATTCTCCTAGTTTGCCACCAACAGGATAGAAAAAGTTTCTCGAGGTCGATGCCGTTTGTACTGATTTCCGTAAAGCGTTCGACTCCGCGAATCGTCCCATTCTTTTATCTAAACTTCAAACCCCTGGGATCCATAGTACCCTCCACGCTTGGTTATCCAGTCCTCTTTACCAACAAAACTGAAATTGTGAAATATAATAACTGCTACTCTAATGCGATTCCCGTGCACTCGGTTCTTCCAGCGGAGGATTCCATTTGGGGCCAGTGATTTTTAATTTAACCACCAACGACATTTCTGATGTTTTCATTTATGGCGAAGTTTCACTCCACTCTGATTACCTAAGATCTATCGTTCGAGTATTGTTCTCTTGCGAAAGTTAAAATTAAAAATGAATTATTAACCACAAACTTCATTCTTAGGATGCTTAGTACTATTTTGGACTTAGGTATTACGTTTTCAAACACTCCCTGTTTCTATTAGGTTGTCCCAAAAGTTTCTTTCGCTTTATTAATAAGTAATACATGCACAATAGTTTATGTTTTATGTTACATTACTGAATTGTGCACGATTCATTTTGCTCCGTCACTGTTACAACATGAATATCTATGAAATTAGATTGTCTATTTATATAAACACGACCCCGTAAAATAATTGAGTGCAACTCGCGAAAGAAACTTTCGGGACAACCTAATATTTACTAAGAATTTATACAACTTTTATTTGCAGAAGTACGTAGAACTTGACGATAGAAAATCATTCTGTTTCGAAACATTTATAACAAGTGCTGGCACGCATCAGTTAGGTCAATCGTTACCTACGCACGGTTAGGCACGCGTATTTTCTAAAAACACAAACAGAATTCGATTTTCTTTCAAAGAGTCTCTTTGAGCGAGCAACCGGGTCTTTCACTCGTGAAACTCATTCACTAACGATTTTATCACTAACTCTCTCTACTTTGAGAGACTCGCGAGCAGTCGACCAAGATAAATGCTAACTATCAGGTGAAAGAAGCATGACAGGTACGTCGTGGCCCGTTGGACGCCCATCGTTACCACACCAACTGCCACGCGTTTTCAACATGTAAGGATATATCATTATTGAACGTTATTAGAAGTGTACAATTTGCGCGTAATATCTTCTGTAGTGGTCGCGAGAATATACCTACACAGTCTACTTTAGTAACATTGACCAAATGCTTTCGTAATCTACACCGATAGCTTTCGTGGAACGGATATATGCGGCCATAGCGCCCGAAAAGGGTTAAGCTATTATGCTCGGCAGCGTTTCTATAGATTCGACGGACAGGTTGCGTCGAAACGGTCTTCTCGACGGCGGAGTACGACTCTGCGTTTACACACTTGGACGGACACCCCTTAGCCGTGCGACGAGACCCACCCTTTCTCCAGCCATTGGGTGACAGTTTAGATTACATTGCGAGGCGCATCCTTAAAGGAGCATCCAACCGCGAACGTTTTTTAAACGAATCACCGTAACGACGCACGCTGGTCTGCGCAGACGACTTCGGCCACTGGCTTCGCGAATAACACGCAAACGGTTGGACCAGTGGTGCACAACGGTTTACGGTCATGGGCAAAATGAAATGGAGGAACATGTTCTGGGAACACGTTTCAGTTTAACCCATTCACTGCCAACTACGAGATGTCTCGATCAAATTGATTACAATTACTCAAGGGATAAGTTTATAGCATTTTCAGTCACGAATTATTGCAAAAGAAGATCGTAAATTTTCTTTTTAAAACAATAAATTTAATGTCATTTTTTATCATCAAAATATTAATCTAGATTACACATCTGTATTAAATCTTGACGCCATTCTAAGGACTATCGATTCTAATCCATGCTGAGGGAATAAGGGACGCCTTAAACTTTCAATCGAGGAGTATAAAGAGGACCACGACTCAGTTAAAGTGTAAAACACCACCCTTTCTTTTTAAAATTCCGTTAATATTAACGAATGGAATGTTGCTCGATGCTCTTCCCGTTAAATTAACAAACATTTAGAACACCTAGAATCTCGAACTAGTTTCCAACTTCATTTCGCGAGGCTGATAAACTTGATGGCCAGAGCGAATTGGCCCGTGGGGCGAGGTTTGCGCACCACTGGGTTCGAGTCAAGCTCAAACAGGTAGGAAGCGCAGACCAAGCCTCGAGGACTTCCACGAGTTAGAAGAGTGCCTAACGACGCAGAGTCGGATGCAGACGCGGAACATTGCGCCTTCCGGTCCATTTGCCCTGGGAAAAGATGTCCCGGCAACATTTCGTGTACGTGTGTCTCCCGCTTTCAAGTTACTCGTTTTCGAAGTCTTTTAAGAACCGCCGACGAATTTCTCGAAGTTATCTGCTTTCTTCGGGTATTGGGTTGATTCGCAGATAACTCGTGTTTCTCTCTTGTAATACGTTCGCCATGCTACGAGGCATATAGGGGATGGACAAAGTAATGCGAACACCTGTGACTATATCACCATATTGTCTTATCGATATTGGATTTGGCTAGCATTTACATTTCATATAACTTCTTGGAATAAATTCCTGCAGGTTTTGGGTTGTTTCCAGTGGAATGGTGTTTCTTTCATTTGAAACGTCTTTTCAATTGCTTTCGGGGGGTGTCGGAGGGAAGGAATCCACTTTTCATTCGGGTTTCCAAAATTGGCCATGGTATCAGAGTCTATTTCGATATTGCTCGAAGTGAGACTGAACTTTCATAGTCGTGTGAATTCTATATTTTATATAGTTGGATGAAGCATCCTTCATTTACATCAACTCCAGTGGATGTCGGATAAAAGAAAAGTTGTTTCGGGGCTCAGTGGATTCGATAACGATAACAAATTTCATAAAACCGAAAAGTGGGGAAAAAATTGGATTCCACTAGAAAGTGATTATATAAGCACGGTAAACAAAATTTAATTTAATATGAATTTACTGGCCGTTTCATATCGACTATTGGTTTATCGCAAAGACTTTAATTTCCTGGCGTAGCTCCACCTTTAGTGGGAGGGAATCGAATACGCGTTTAGCTAGACAAATTACCAAAATTCAATTCGGCGATAAATACATATTGATGGAATTATTATTAAAAAGTTAATACGGGATATTGCATTTCTACTTAAAACTGATATCACGATTGGTAAAATGTTCTTTCGATAAAATAACTTGCGCTCACATTAAGTCGCACCGTACTTTAACTTTATCGCAACTTGAGAGCAAAAATATGTTTATTTTTTCAGTGAGTCAAACGAGTTTGTCAATTAAAGATATTCCTCGCTTTAAACTTATATTCAACACACCTTTTTCGTTATTTCATATAAAAGTTCAGAGTTCATAGACTCGATTGTCATCGTGAATTCGATGAACATGCGTTACGAAAAAAAAAATTGTTTATTCAGCCACACATGGAGCTGTTCAGAAAAAACAGAGAATCGAGCAAGGTGTCTACGAAATCCGAATTAGACATCGCCAGCGACGCGTCCCTATAGATAGGCGTGCGGATTTCGCCTCGATCCGACAGCCCTCCCGCGTTTACAGCGTTTGTGCAAATAGCTGGCGCTTAAATAAACAGTTGCCGTATCGCGTATATTATTTATTGCGGTCTGTCGTCCATATTGCACACCACGGACGAACCCTCGCCATCTTGCCTGTTTGCCTACTGCATATACGGGTGCTGTTATGAATCTGCAACATTAACATCCTGGAGAACCACTACAGTTTGGACGGGTTTTGAAGAAGTTTTGGAGGACGTGTCTCTTTCGATTTTAGATTGTTTCGATTTTCGGGGAGGACTCGTTGCGTTCGCAATGCACTATTCAGTTTAATATTCATGGACGAGTAGTTTATTTAAACTCTGAATCTGGAAGATTCTTGAGATTACTTTCTTGAAGAATCCTGCTATATTTCTGATAGAGTCAATTAGAGGTCTTTGGAGAAAGGGCATGTAGCTCTACAAAGTACTGAGTAGAAATTTAAAGTTTTTAATGTATCGAACTATAACAGTTACTCGCTATTTGCCACCTTTATTCACATGGTTTGTCACCATTGGCTAAGTCATCCAACATAGCAACTCACAAGTCAATACTAAGCAGTGCGATCACCAGTAGCCTATAGACAGAGATTTCTAGAGAGGATTAGGCGAGGTGAGTGGCCTATCTCCTTGCCCCTTGCCGTTATTAGCTAAGTCGCTCAACATAGCTACATCCACAAGTAAATCCTACTCGATCTGATCACCAAGACTGTACGTGTGCGTATTTCTGGAGGGGATTAGTTAGGGTAGCCTATCCTTTACCTCTCCCCGTGTCGAAAAGTTAGCGGCCGCTCGGCAACTTACGATCTCCGCACGGTAACGACAACTGGAATCCATTTTGGGTCCAACTTAAACCGCAACGTTACATTCTGTGTGACAGCGATGATCTCCTATTTGGTGTGCGTAACACCAAGTGGAACCATAGACAAGCGTTGCATGGTATGTGCCACGCTATTCGGTACATGCAGTTGGCCTGTTTAATACATTTTATTTGTACATGGAAGCATGCACCGCATTAAATAAAATTACTGCGAACGCAGCGTGTGGTCTGTGGCAGGCGATGTTCCTAGTGAACGCTGGTAGCGAACGTGTTAAGTTTGTACACGTAGTTCACGTGTATTCCAAGGTTCTGTGCAGGATTCAATTCCGCCGTTGTGAAACGTCGGGATTGCTCTTTTGCGTTATAGAATAATTTCATGTGAACTGTTTAGTGTTTAACCCTTAAATGGTCCAAGTTTCAAATTTGATACCGGACTGTCCTTTTGAACAATAGTTAATAAAATAAATGTCAGCTGTGAAAATTGTTCGAATAATAAATACATTGATATTTTTTAAAATTTTATTTGGAAAATCAGCCTTCCAAGAGTTAACAGGATAGATGAGTACATAAATAACTTCATAACATTCTTCAGTCAAAGCACTTTCGAATAAAAGCTCACGTCTACAAAATGTTATCCGCCGTTTTGGCTCAACCGCTGTAAGCTTATCAAGTGGAATACAAATAAAACACACGCTTACTTTCTTTGACACATAAAAGCTCACCTCCCCATCGAATACACATCTCCGTTGGAGTATCGCAAACCCCACTGTGTCTTAGCTTGGAACGGTGTCAATCTCCGACCCAAATCCATTCGCCATCGATTTCCTCGATCCATCCAGATTTGTTTGTTAACGCGCATTACGGAGAACAAGGCGGCCGCACAGCAAGCAAACGTTTGTCTCTTTGCTGGGCTCCCATAACGGTAATCCGTATTAACGCCGCTGCGTGGAGACCAATAAATCTAACCAATATCTTCACGCTGAAACGCCAAGTCATTAAAGCTCGCGGCTTGGTTAACCCGCCAATAAAACCAGCGGCAACCGCTGCAATTATCTCGGACGCTGGGATCGACGTATTTGGCTCGTTTCGCGCCCGAGATGAATTTCGATTTCAAAAAGCATCGAGGGACTTTATACGTAGAAACGCGACGTTTATTCGAATCGGCGATCGTTACGAGGTTAACCGGTAATAAATGTTCCAAATCGCTTGTTTGTCGGATTTCCAATGCATAGTCTTCGTCCTCTTGTTAGCGAGGCATGGTTACCAATGATACTGCGGTGTTCCAGTTTTATTGCACAGGTATAAAAACTCGTGACGCGTAAGCTCGCAGATGCGTTGCGTGAATTCGATTGCGACTTTGTCGCGATAGATGTTATTTATTGGACGTTTATAGATTCGTGAATTAATTAACACCCGTTCGGGGAAGCCGTGAGGCTCTTGAGTTAAATACATCCTGACCTATGCCAATGGGTCAGGAACTCTTGAGTAAGTGGGTCAGGGGACACTGAACGTGTGCGTTAATGTTTGAGTTGCGGTAATGTTAAATGAAAAGTGACCAAATCTGCGGTGCTGGTGTGCTGAAATCTCTTAGTCAAAATAACGAGGTTACATCATGTAGAAAATATTACTGAGAAATTTTATAAGGGAATTTCACGGACCGAAATTTTCTGAAAATGTTGAAACATCGTGCACAAAAGTAGAGCAATCCATCCGTATCATTTTTAAAACCATTTTTCGTCAGTGCCATAATACCCTTTGAAAATTTATAATTACTCGTTGAAAAGAATGCTGGATTCTCTTTTCCGTTAGTAACAACTTTTTTACTTCCCCAAAAAACTGAATTTTTAGTTAAATACACCGCAGTATTTTCAGAAGCACACAGACAATTAATTCAGTTCACGAAAAACCGGTAATTCATTATCCGTATATAAATTCGCAGTATACGGTGCAGCGGTAAAGCGCGCTGAAACATTACCAACCTTTATCAAAAAGGAAAGAAAAAAGGACGAGAGATATTTTGCAACTCGTTTACGGCGTACGAACAACAGTGTCAATTTCAGTTACGCTGTAACCGAGTATTCAATAATATTTTATCCTGGGAAAGCCGAAGGGACGTTTGTCAGGCTCGCAATTGTCAGAGAACGAGAAAGGATAAATTAGTGGAAGGGATTCATCGAAGCGACGCTTTTAAAATAGAGTTTCAATGTAATGGATAGCGCTTAATAGCACGGAGGAAACATTAACGGCCGTTCCCCAAATCTCGACTGGTGAAAAAAAAAAAAAAGAAGAATTTGTACAATGGCGTTCGGGACGCGCTGGTTGGCGCACCGGGTGAAAAAGGAAGTGCGATTTCACACCCGTGCCCGTGCATCGCTGACCGCGTCCTCAAAATAATAGCATCGTCGTTACGGGCGATACGACACCCAAGGGGAAGCGGTTAAGTTTGTCATTACGTGACGCATTATGTCCGTGCATCCGCTTTACAGACACAGCTCCCTGCATTTCGAAATTACACGAATAATTAAACTGCGCATTGGCGCTTCCGCTGCGTCGCGTCGGAACTAGGGCTCGTGTTTCTTGTCGAATTAATTGAATAGCACTCGAACGGCCGAATTCCTGGGTGATAGTCGAACGGTATTCGAATGGCGATATATCTGAATATCTTCGGAATACTTGATACGATTAATGGTACTCGAATATTTTTGGGCGCAGTACTCTGCGCTCTGATTGAATATATAGATATTCGTAGAGAAGTGGAGTTGAATGCAATTCCCGTTTTCGTACGCCTTGCAAAGGTGCCGGGAACGACGAAACAAAAGCATTCGTCGCGAGAGATTCCTCTTATTTCTCGCGATTCTTGAGCACCGGTCAATTTCGTTTTTCCAGGCGATGCAGGCGGCTGCGGTGTCACGGAGGACGTGGTGGAGTGGATGGACAGAATTCAAAATTCTGGCCAGGACGTTCCGCCTCCGACGGAGACCGCAGACGTCAAGAAAGCCGACCCGCAGCAGGCGAATTCATGGAACGCCAGCCCGGAACCACCTGGTCACAAGTACACTCGAGAAGCTAACGAAGCTAGTCATCGAAGAACGCGGAGGGCGGCCAGGCCGAAGGAGGATAACAAAAACACTTGTTCCCTTTTTATTCAGACTGATCCCCTTATATGGAGACATATATCCGAGCAGGTAAACCGATAAGATTAAGCGACGAATTTAACTGGATAGCCGATTCTTTTTAAACGCAGGTAAAACCGTGCACCGTCCTCCGCCGACATAATAACCGACCCAATTCTTTTTGCAGAGAATTTAGCTCGAAAAACGTAATAACTCCTTGCACAATCGCCGAATGCTCTGAATGCCTCCATTCTCCTTGGACTTACATTCGTACAGCTTTTCCCCCTCTCGGTAATAGGGACTTGGAGGGGCGTAATTTCATTTCGCGTTTGCTTCCCAAACTAGACGTCTGGTGCATACCGAGTGTCCTTGCGTTAGAGAAATATTTCTATCCTCCGGCATTCTTTTTGACCCGCGGCATTCTTCCTTCGGTGCCGTTCTAAAAATCTCTTTTCGCGTACGAGCATCCCCGAGTTTCGCGGAGAATTGCGAATATTGAATTTTCCTTCGTTTCCGGTTCGCAGTTGCACCACGACGTGGAGAAAACCAAAGAGGAGATCCTGTCGCTCATCGCGCAACACGTCACTGCCGTGAATTACATATACAGGGACACGAAGTTCGATGGTAGAATCAAGCATAGGAATATCAAATTCGAGGTTCAGCGGATAAAGGTGATTAATCCACGTGCGAATTCTGCTCCGAAACAGGGCCGTGTTTGGGTATCAGGCGCCTTAGAGCAATAATCAAATGTCGCTTGCGGCTATTTAATTTTTGGCGAATTTGCAGTGGGTTGTGGAGGCATTTGAGGTCCCTTCATTGGCAATTGCAAACTTATGTGATGCGTTGGTCGAAATGTCATGGGATTGTTATTTAATTAGTTTGTACACTGGATTAATTTGAGAGATATTCTGGATTTTTTAAACGTGGAACAATCTTTGAAAATTTTTAACATAATGTCTGATGTGGGAGGTCCAAATTTGAATATTTGGATGTGTATTTATCGAAATGTTTAAGAATCACTTGAAAAATGTGCAAAAATATTATTTTGAAAATAATAAATGAAGCCTCTATAAAATGGCGTCCCATCTACCTTGTCACGGCTCTGCGTCGAAATCACGATTCTTCTCCTGTTTAAACTCATAAATTCTGCACAACAGATCGACGACGACACGGCGTGCACGCCTCAGCAAACATACGGTGAACCTAATCCTTTCTGCATGGAGAACATTGACGTTAGTAACTTTTTAAATTTGCATTCCCTCGGTAACCACGAAGACTTCTGTCTCGCCTATGTCTTCACGTACAGGTATATGCAGTTTCGAAATAAATTATACCGAAATCGTTGTGCAATCAGACAAGGAGTACCGTGTACAAAAACAGGGAAATTAATTAATTTATCTGTGCACAAGGAATAATTGTCTGGCTGTGCCACGAATTTCACTGTGTATGTAGTTGAAAAATATTCATTAGCACGTCCAAATTATTAACAGAGATTTCACCGGAGGCACCCTCGGGCTCGCTTGGGTCGCCTCAGCTTCCGGTGCGTCCGGCGGTATATGCGAGAAATACAAAACGTACACGGAAACGGTGGGTGGAATGTATCAATCCACGAAAAGATCCTTGAACACGGGGATCATTACTTTTGTAAATTACAACAGCAGAGTTCCTCCGAAAGTGTCGCAATTGACGTTAGCTCACGAGATAGGACACAACTTCGGATCACCTGTAAGAATTTCTTTCCAATGACGACTCTAGCACCGACCTGGGATATCTAGTTATGTTTAATTCATGTTAATTACATTTGTAGCATGATTTTCCTCCCGAATGTAGACCGGGTGGGCTACACGGAAATTATATTATGTTCGCCTCGGCGACCAGTGGGGATCGGCCGAATAATAGTAAATTTTCGAGATGTAGTATCGGAAACATCAGCAACGTTCTGGATGCCATTGAAGACAACAAGAAAAGGAACTGTTTCACTGGTTCGTGTACGACGTTCGAATATTATGAATTGTTCTCCTTTGAATTGGGAATAGGTCCTCATCTTCGTTCGATTTCGGTATGTGTAGCGTCTGCTGGGGCATTTTGTGGCAATAAGATCGTCGAGGCTGGGGAGGAATGCGACTGTGGATATGACGATGACGAGTGCGTGGATAAGTGTTGCTATCCGAGACAGTTGTCGGAGCTGGACAGAATAAAGAACGAAACTGCGAAGGGTTGTACCAGAAAGTTTGGAACGCAGTGCAGGTACTTTGATTTAGAGTGCTGTAGGACATCTATGAGAAAGTCCAGTGCCAATTGTAAAAAAAAAAAATAACTTTATCTGGAAAACTCTATTGTCTATAGTACAGACCAAAGAAAACCTCCAATTAGGTATTTCCTTGTCGTATTACAAGTAAAACAACGCACACAAAAGGCGACAGAACTTTCCCACGGATCCGACATGTTGTGCATCGTTAGCCGATGACGCATAACACATATGGACATCTTTTGTAGTCACACGTGTCACGAGTTATTTTGCTTGCAGTCCCAGTCAAGGGCCTTGTTGTTCGAGCGAGTCATGCGAATTCGTGCCGCTCTCCAAGGGTATTCAGTGTAAAGCAGAATCCGATTGCAGTTACAATTCGACTTGCAATGGGGCAACATCCGAGTGTCCTCCGCCTCAGCCAAGAGCCAATAAGACTAGGTGTAACGAAGGGACACAGGTAAGAAAAGTTTTCCTATTTCTAAATTTTTACTTGTAGAACTTTAGCTTGTAGAAATGAATTCTGTATCTTTATATTCGCACATTTAAGCCGTTCACTGCACGAATCGATTAACTCCACTTTTTGACAAATTTGATTTTTGAGACGTGATTTGGATACATTAGAGCATCAACCTGGTGCAGTCCTCGCGCCAATCTCTGTTACAATGTATCTAAATACATATTATTATTTTTACTTCCAATTTCGAGTATCCGCACTCCTAGGTCCAACGATTCGATCTGTCAACTCTTGTCCTCTCGCTTTCTCAATGTTCATGGATTATGTGGGGGATGTATCGTTTAATTGTGTTGACAGCTGTGCATCAACGGGGAATGCACAGGATCGATTTGCTTGGAATGGAATCTGACGGAATGCTTTTTGACGAGCAACGTGATTCCGAATATCGACAAACGGAAGCTGTGCGAATTAGCTTGCCAAAACGGAACCGATCCATCCAGTTGCCGCAGCACCAGCGAGTTTGCTCACGTCGTTGGTTTGCCCGAAGGTGGAATTAGTCTTCGACCTGGATCGCCCTGCGATAACTTTCAGGTGACAGACTAAACGCCAACCCGTTATCTTCCCCGATAAATCTGTTGCTCTACAGTAAGAACAATAATTTGACAATTTCCGCTTTAGGGTTACTGCGACGTATTTTTGAAGTGCAGAGCAGTGGACGCGGAGGGCCCGTTAGCTAAACTGAAAAATCTTTTATTTAATAAAGAAACATTGATCACGGTAGCGCAATGGGTGACTGTAAGTGTCCAGACTGTCGGTGTTTGATTAGATTATCGTTTAGTGGACGTAATCGATGAACGTTCCTTTTTCCAGGAATACTGGTGGGCGGTATTACTAATAGGCATAGCGTTCATTATTTTCATGGGGTTGTTTATCAAATGCTGCGCCGTGCACACTCCTTCCAGTAATCCTAAGAAACCACCAGCGAGGCGGATTAGCGATACTTTGAGAAGGCCGATGAATACGCTGAGGAGAATGGTACGTGCGAGGAACTGAAGAAACAGCGAAGCGCGAATCATTTTTAAATGTTTGCGTTATGGGCATGCGTTTATTTTTATAGCGGCATCCACACGGTGGAGGAGGTGCTGGCCCCAGAAGTATACCTCCGAGGCAAACCCAAGGAGGCCACAGTGGAACTCGAGGACCCTCTCATGGTTATGGAGAGGGCAGAGGTGCGCAGTATTACCCAAAAGGTAGGCTCCCACGTAAACTACCGCTTTCTAATGCAGCTATCGTTGCTCGAGTTTGATCTTGGTAAATATTGCTCGTTAAAATACATACTGGATGTTTGCATTTTAGCTCGTAAGATTTGGATTAAACTCAAGCTATAGTAGCTTGCTGTCGTGTATCGCATCATTCCACGAATAATGTCGCTTCTGATATTGCTCGCTAGGACCATCGTTCATTTCTAAATCGTATCTTTGATCAAATTGAAGGTGGGAGTTATAAGATAATCTAATCTCTAAAATGAAGTAAACCATAATGGGGTTCATCTACAGTCGATGATTAAGAATATTGCATGCAGAGATTAATATCAGATATTAAAATAAATGATATAGTTAAGAGCTGCCACACTATCCTTCCTATTATATGTATCAATGTTGCGACGACGAATACGGCATTATTCGTGAAATGACCTGACATTTATCCCTGTGTGATCCGCAACTACATCGATGTTTTTTCCTGTTTGCATTTCCCCCGCATTGACGCGCATCACTACCTGATACTATCATATCTATGACCTACAGAGGTGAGCTGGGGCCTATACTCTATACCTTTGATAGGAGCAAATTCACGAATAGGAAGGAATCCAATGTAACGCAAAGAACATATCAGGCTCCAGCAGACTTCTCATTCGAAGTTTTCGTCGATCAATTTTTTTAACAAATCACATCACTGCTACTTCTTGTATTTGCTCCTAACTCTCTCGTCACAGTTTACTTATCTACAGAGTTTTTCGTTCTTTTCGTTTGTGCATCATTTGTATTCGTTTTAATCAATTTTTCGATTGGAGGAGGGAGTAGGGGAAGGTAACAGCTTTTGAATGATCAGAGGAACGTAGTGGCAATATCTTGACGATACTTCAACACTTTGCCGACGGGACAATAATTCCACCTGTTGTGGGAAAATTTAATCTTTTGCGTATAAAATAATGGCACAAACCAAATGGCTCTTTTGGCTCACCCTATACAAGGAATTCTCGATATCAAAAATACAAACATGTCCATGGACAAATTAGGCCATAATAATACCGGGAAAAAAAACAAGAAATATAATCTCATGAACACCTTTCATAAATATCCATCTATAGTGTATTACATTTATTTTACAGTAAAGTAAGTTAGGATGACAACTTGCTGAAGAAGTCAATGGCTGCTTACAATTTACTGCTGCTAAATATCCTCACTTAGATTTACGAATTATCGATGGCTAGAAATAAGCTTCTCGTCTATTTGTACATCACAAAAGAATTGATTTCGAAAGTTGATACTAACTACTTGAAATTTCAATACATTTAGATATTTCCTATAAACCACTGCGATACACATTGGTCCACGAAAATCCTCAAGAGCCACTAGCGCCGGCAGCGGAGAAACTAATCACCCAAACGTCATTTATGCGCAAGGAATATGCGCAGGAGACTGTATATGCCATATGATACGGTGAAAATGGGATCGATACGTATTAATCTTGAAAAGTTACAAGTCTTATTATGCCCCCAAACCTGAGCCAAGGCAGTGCTAGTCTCAAATTGATTTAGAATTAAGGTATTGCTTATCCATAAATGCTTTCCAAACCCGTACAGTAACCACTCATCGATTATTCAATCACCAAAATATTAAAGGAACACATCCGTATCAAAGTCTACAAACACCAAGCATACCGAAACTCTTTCAACGTCAAATTTCTTTCCGTGTAGTCTTCTACGCATCCGCCTCGCGCACATGCGATATCGCAATACATACCACGTCTGTCCACAAACGGCGCTAGTGCCTTCATACCATCACGAATCAATGCGTCAATCATCATCGTCCCTTGTACCAGTTCCAGCTAATTTCGGTGCTCCTCCTCCTCCCCCTCCCCCGTCGGCAATGCGTTATCAGACACGAGTGCATGAACACCATAGTTCGGTCATCGACGTTGTTTCGTTTTAGTTGGACACTTCATTTCATAGTTGAATACCTTTCTAAACTTTAAGCAGGCTATCGCTCGGTTCCCACAGCTAGTGCGCCAGCCGGTAGCAGCGCAGCACCCAACTACGGTCGTTCCAATCATCCAGAACTGTATGCAGGCGCCTATTCGGGTTCCGGCGGAGGTGGCCGGGCCGCAGCCTACGAGATGAGGCATCACAACAAGGTGTGACGATCCTAGAGAACCGCGGACGAGGAATGGTCTCGGCATCGTCGCACCCTAACTTCACTCTGTATAATGCCAAACTGTGAAAACGAGCCGATCCACCACCCTACGTGGTGCCCCTCGTAACCAAGGGTTCGAAGGAAGAATGGAAGAGCGTGCGATCGTGTGCAATCGACAGTACCGGCGATCGCCGATCAACGTTACTCTTTTTTTTTTTTTGTAATTCTTTTTCTTCTTATTTCGATACGTGTAATTCACGGCAATAGGGAGTTCGTGGGTTCCGCGATTGCAAATTTGGTGAAGTGTGCTAGGATCAATGGTGATATACATGTTTGGGGAGTGGGTGGGGGGGGGGGTGTTCATCAAGCTGATTCAACGATTCAGCGAAGTGCTAGGAAAATCGACGTTTGCGAAAACGACGGGACGAATGACAGCGTTGAGTATTTTAAAAAAAAAAAAAAAAAAAATCATAAACTTACGAATCTTTAGTAATCTATATTATCGTACACTTTTACGTAATTCGTCTTTTAAATGTTTCCCGCAGATTCCTCCGCGTTGCCATTAAGTATTCGCGTTTTGCGATCGTTCGGAAAAAAACAATAAAAAAAAAAATAGATCGGAATTATTGCAAAGCTGTATTCGAAAGAACTTTCTCTGTTTCGCGAAATTCTTTCACGTTGAACGGGTGTCGATCGATGATCGAGTCGTTTTTCAAACGAACAACGCTGGATTCGCACAGCAAGTGAAATCTTATGGTACTGAACGTAGCGTATGTTTGCCCGTTCGATGTATGAACATTTTTATGGCCAAGATTGCATAGTAGCGTTGATGCATCGATTTCTTGACGGAAGTCGTGATTGCGCATGTTTCGCTCCCGAAAGCGTGTTTTCTTCTATTGTTTTTTTGTTTGCTTTTTTTTTTTTTAACAAAAATGATCAATGAGACTGTTCGTTAGAAGAAGAAGGGAAGTTCAATGGGAGACAGGAGACGACAATATATATTTGGAATAAGTGTTAGGATGATAAACGTAACTTTTGAAAAGCTCCCACTGAACGTACCTTGTCACTTTTAACTCTTATACATTGCGAGATTCCTCGTATTATTGTCGTAGACTTTTAAACGAACACTTTTTCCTTTCATTTTATCTCGAAGTTGACCCACGCGTCTATCTTCCTCCTTTTCGACTTGATATGTATATTTTTTTAACGTTAGCTCTTTTAATCGTAATTATTAATTTTCTTTACTCGTATAATCCATTATTCCGTGATATTAATCGCGTCTACGGCAGGATCTGTTAGTCAAGCCTTACCAAAGAGTCCAACTGACAGATCCGGGAGGAAACGCAGTAATATTACTCTCATTGTAAGTACCAAAAACCCATTACATTCTATCGATATCACTTTAAATACAATTTAACACCGAGACGTTTATTATATATAATTTTTAAGACGGTACACGTAAGTCGCGTTGTATAAAATATCGGCTAGCGAAGAAAATGTCGTTTTTAAGTTTCTTGTGTCGCATCACCCGCTTTCCGGAGCGAAGAATCGCGCCTACCATTACCAAACTATTGCAGGTCATTCACTTGATCTCTACCATTGTAGTATAATAATTAATGATATGTAATATTCTTATACTAATTTTTATTAGCCAATTGAAACGAGCAAAGCTATGAGAGACTATGAAAAATAGAGGAAAAGCGACAGGAAGAAAAAAAAAAAGATTTTTTTATAACGATATTTCATTAACAATTGTACCGATAAAAAAAAAGAATGATATTGAAACCGATATTGATATTACTATAATTGTGCTTACGATTATTATTACTATTATTATTATTATTATTATTAATACTATTACTATTATTAATTAGTTATCTATTGCAGATGATAATTTATCTCCGCTATCGCGAATGTTATAAGTTATATTTAAAATACGGTTTTTAACTTGCAAATTATCGGGGGCTGTACCGTAAACGCGCTTCAATTACGCGCATGGCGGACCAAAGACGAGGCCTCTCGAAATATAAACGTTTTAAATATACGTGGGCTCAAGCAGCATATTCGTACACAGCTGCGCAACTCGTATGCGACAGAGGAAAAATCCGTACGCCCAAAAAGTTCGAAACGGTCGGGTCGTGCCACCAAATAGATCCCGCGCGAATACTGTATCTCGCTTCCTTTCTCGAAACGCCAAAACGTTACGTGATCGACTGAATTTTCTTTTTTATTTTTTAACTCGTCCTTCGTCGAACCTTCTTCAGCAAATTTTGTCCGATTCTTTCCGTAGAATTCCAATTCGCAACAGCAATCTAAGAACAACTGAAGATGAAAATCGTTATCGTCGCTACCACGGTCTGTTATTTATCAACGATTCAGCGGTCGCGATCTAGCATTTATTCTTCTCCCTTATACTCTTTTTTATAATGCCGCGATATCAAGCTTGCCAACGTTTCCAAAAGCTGAGTGCGTTTTCTATTGTCCTTGTCTTTCCATATTTCATAAAAACGAGAAAAAGCGTCATTGCACATACCGTTCAACGCCAGGGCAGCTGTACTAGAGAAGCTGGAGGTATTGTCCCTGGATGAGATTCAATTTCGATGGTTAGAAGTTTCAAGAAAAAAAGGCTGATTCTTTAGTGAAGAATGCATTTTGTGATCGCAAGGATAGATTTCTTATCGTGAATATCGGGTGCAATCTTTATAGCTTCGCGCAGTAGTTGCGAAGAGGGACATAACGATTTTAAGCAGAGGTGGGCAGAATTTTATTCCAATATTGATTTATTCGTGACGTTTTTTTATTGGACAGCTACTCGAGTAAGCTTTCATTCGTTCAAAGTGGAATGTGTATTTACATTCGTATCAAGTGTAATTAAAATTGTTATTTTTGCAGGAGAGTGCGCATGTAGGTAGTTCTAAAGTGGCACAATTCAAAAAAGAAAAAAAAAACAAACAACAATGAAGTAATTTTTTTTAATCTTTCTCATTATTGAATATTATTCTCGATAGCAAATCATGTCACCCTGGCGTGGCCTGAAACGTATCTTATTGATAGAATTAACATCTGATCGTTTCTTTTAATAATTGTTTTGACAAACAATCGACTCCTTGGTTGACAAATGCCTCTTTGCCTTCCCTGAAGTGCTTCTTCGAGTTGCGCCACTCTAGAAATACAAATGCAAAATTTATCTCCGCGCGAAACATAAATATCTGAATAATAATTTTGGCCATCGCTGATTTGAAAGCTAAACGGGCATGCCAGACAGAAGGAACGTTTTTATGGGTGACGAAAGAAAAGGAGGAGGCGTGTGTCTGCCGAAATCGCAGAAATACGAGTTTGCGGGTCGTGTGGAAATGTACAATAGTCGCAATGTGATTGTAAAAGAGGATAGTGCGAGAGATCATATGTGAGAGAGGCGAGAAAGCGGGCCTGGGGAGGTGATCTGTAAGGACATAGAGCGAAGACGGGCGTGCAAGGAATAAAAGAGAGAGTGTTCAATCTCTGTACATATGTCGATATTGCTCGCGTACGTATGCACACGTGTGCGTACGTATGCGCCAATCATCGCGAACGATAATTGTATAACCATACAAAAAAAAAAAAAATGGTAAAAGCGAATACAAAAGAAAGGAAAAGAAAAAAAATACTTGTTTTTATATCAGATCTGTATTATAGCGAAATATTATTCTGTATTTTGTAATCGGGACGGAAGTTACGAAGGATGACGAACGAATGCCTGTACGTGCGTGTAATCGAGCACTTAACTTTTTAAGGTGACGACTTTTAAACGACGATCCAAGCGTGGATCCGGGACGGATCGTTCGATGTAGATTATTTAAGAAGTTTCGAAGATTCTTGCATATAGATGCAACACGAGGATTCCATTTGGTCCCATTCGTAATCGCTCGTCCTATCATCGTTATGATTATTTAGCTCGTGGTTTTCCTCCTCGTGGGCCACGAATGTGATTTACTGCCATTCGTAATAGCGCATAGCGAGAGAAAAAAAAATATAACGAGTAATCGAAAGCGTCTTTTTAAAACGAGAAAAAGAAAACCAAAGGGTTTCGTATTATAGATTTATCGTTACTAGCATCAGAGTTAACGACGTACGGACATCAGTATTATATAACATTCAGTGGTAAACGATACGTTCGATAGTGGATCTTGCGAAAAAAAAAATCGAGTACCAACGGGTGGTACATAGATATTTAAAGAAGAAAAAAAAAAAGAGAGAATTGTTAACACGATCAAATTTTGCTTCCGAGCCACTGTCACGTTGAACAGCCATCGTAAGTGATAGATCTTACTCGGAACGAGTTGGTCGACGTTTCAGATATCGTTCGTAATGAATTATCCTTGCTTCCATTTCACTGCCATAAAGAAAACGATTCAAACCGACTGAATATACGATCAAAGTAAACAACAGTACGCGTTCTTGCAACAAGAACGGAGGGATGAAATAAAGGGAAATTAGCGGCGTTGTTTATAAAAATAAAGAAAAGCCTAAGACAAGCGTGGAATGGGACCAAGTTGTAGTATCTAGTTAACGAAGACGTCGCTTATCCGTATGAGAAGCATAACGATTAAAAAACAAAAGTACGTTCTCCTTCATCATTTGTCCCCCCAAACCCCGAGAAGTCTCTACTACATATGCTTAAGCTTATTCGTTTCTGCGCCGTCTGGATTAAGATCGTGTTCTGTGTAATTATTATTCCGTGATCGGGCGGTTTCGCTGCACTTTTTTTGTGATAAACGTACTCTCGGAAGGCGCGAGCAGACACCGCGATTAGGTAATTGTGAAAAAAGAAATTCAGTTTGCTCGCTGAAATCAGTGTACCTATCTTAATCCAGACCTTTGCGTCACTGTGACGCGATACACACTACTTTATCACTTGTACATAATGTTAGTGAGGAAGAAACAAAAAAAAAGAAATCGAAAATTATATTTTTTCTATCGATCCAAAAATGTGGTGACCTATCAACATCGTGCATCTGAGATTAGTTTTCTCATCTTTGTATCGGTTCTCTTACCTGTTCCGATTTTACTTTGCGATATATCAGTCGTCTAGTTTCACCAACACACCGTACATTCTACACAAAGAATTCCTTGAATGTGTCACAGAATCACCGATTTACTTTTTTTTTTTTTCTTTACATTCGACGTGCCGTAGCGTTACGTTCTCTCATTCATTCAGTCTCAATGCTACACGTTTTCAGTTCGAACTTTTTATATAAAAATCTTATTGAGCATGATACTGACCAATCGCCTGAACGTAGCTTCAGACCACCACTCTCTCTTTTTCTCAAATGTTTAGAACGCGGCGAGTGTTTTAAGAATATTATAAATAAAAAGGAATATGATTGTGAATCTCTTGTGTTATGTTAATGTGATTAAAGAGAAAAAACAAAAACATTGTAAAGAAGTAAATAAAGCATACATTTTACATTTACGTGAATGTACTATTCATTCTATTTCAGGTGCGACGAGGAAAAGTATTAATTGTCTTTTTTCAACCACGATAAAAGGTAAATTTCTAGTAAGTAAATGACTTCTGATAAAGAGGAGTCACAAAGAACACAGTTACTTGTGCTATGAAAAAGTAAACACAAGCAACATTGAATCTATAAATATATTTTACAATATATCTACTGAAATTAAATGGGTAGCGTGAAAAAAGAATTTGGCTATCACCTAGTGCTAATTGGTGTTACGAATGACATAAGTGGGTTAATAAGTAACGTACACAGTTTATAGATAATCGGATTTATTTTAGAAACTATTGTAAAAGTTACAATTATACATTAGAAAATGTAGCAGATAGAACGATATCTACTTTACGATACGTGTGTATTTCGATTCTTAAACAGGCAGGCGTTTTACACTTCGCCTGAAATATAAAACATTCTTTACATACGGATGACATGTAACGGAATACTGGGAAAGAACGTATTATTGTATGTTATAGCATATCCTAAAGCAGGTATCAAATGTGAATAGAAGATATACTGCTCCATACAAAATGCATCATCTTTAAATGATATCCGGTAAAAGTGGACGTAAAAAAGTAGCCCTGAGCGGCAAGCTAAAAATACACACATCCTTTTATCAATGCTTTTATGGCTGTGAATGTTCGAGCTTGTACACGTCGTGATACGCGTTTCGTATCAATGCGTACGGGAAACAACTTTCAAGCAAATCCATTGTTAGGAATGGAGATTCTTGGACTATTTGATCCAACAAAAGGTACACGGATTCCCTGTTTTTAATTACCTCCTTGTCCGCCTCTTGACCCAGTCTGAGCAGGCTGGACGACGCCAAAGCTAGGAATTCCTTCATTCTATCCTCTATATCGTTTTGCCCGCAAATAGTAAACAATGCACCAAAAATATTATTTATCGCAGTCGCCATACAGTGTATATTATTCGCGTGGCCCTCCAAGGATGCTCGATAAAATGAATTCTCGTTTCGTGCCAGTTTCGGAATGGAGACAGCCACGAATACCATCAGCAAACAAACGAGCAAATGTTCGTCTTCGTCTACCTCGGATTTCTGGCTCCTTAGAGCCGCTGTTAAAGTTGGATCGACTTTGCAAGTTAAACCTGCCGCGGATATCATCTCCGAAACAATGCGCATGGGATCCCCAGATGGCAAATGGTGTCTGAAGTCCAAAATGGAGCTCAGAAGAAACGGTATACGTTCCTCCAGGACATCGACCAGCGCAGACTGCGCTAACTGTCGGAAACTTAGAATTACACCTATAATCGTAACTCGTTGTAGTACGTTGTCTACGTGCTGCAACCTTTTGAACTGTTCCTTCATTACTTCGGGCTTGTCGAAGTTTGTTCTCAAGGCGATTAAGACGTCTTTGTTCCCAGCAACTAGTTTCTTCAGTTGCTGCACTTGACTCGCTATGTGCCACATCAAGTTTTCGTTCAACATTTTCATTCCGTAGGGTCCGATGAGTTCGGCTAACGCTCTCAGTTCGTTGATGTCGGAAAATTCTTCAGCGTTGAACGGCATCGCGCCTTCCACGGACAAGCTGACAAATGCCCTTTGATTGCCGGAATAACAGATATTCCCAGTACTGACTCGTCTCAGTAGAACATCTGAATACCATTGCGTGTACAGAGCAGCGATGGTCTTATCGCCGTGACTGTCCAACTCTTGTGTTTGTTGAAGGAGGGCGTTATTAAATACGCGGGTAATATCTATGTGTACGTAATTTTCAACTGTCTGAAGTACGTTCATGTAGGATCTAACGCTAACAAAGAGCTCCGAGGGTTTCGCAATTTCGATAGTGTCCGGATTGTACATGACCATACCGACAAGTGCTCTGGCAAATCTTGATTCTAAATGCTGATGCAAGTATTCCCTCGGTGCGAAGGTATATTCCCATACGTTGATAGTAGGGCAGTAATTGATAGCATAACATAGCTCTGTTAACGCCATGTGAAGTTTATCCATCGTCGTAAGTTCTTCCCTTGTTTTTCGGTAACTTTCTATACCGGGTTTATGGATTTCGTACATATTCTTCTTGTTTTTGTCTTTCTTCTTTCGATTCACCACTTGCGAGATTAACAACGCGCAATGTTTCGGCAGCAGTTTGTCGCCCATATTGCATTGTTCGTCGCAAATGGTTGTGATGATATTCTTGGCTTCTTTTGCCATTTCGTCCAGAAACATGTTAACAACGGATAAACTTCTTTCGCGAATGTGATGACGCTCCTCTGGGCAGAGTTCGTGCGTACAACTTTGGAAGTGACTGCATATTAACGGAAAGGCAACGATATATCTGTTTTGAGCGGGAAATTCTAAACACTTTTGAAATTGATCTTCGAATACTTTACTGTAAAAGCAGAAGATCGATAAGTCGGATGTTTCGACTAACATTTCGTCTAAGTTATCTACCATTTTCGTATGGAACACTACGGTATCCATGAATGACGCTAATTCTCTATTATCGGCTAAGTTCATGTTACATTTTGCGATCGACATGTATGCTTGTAATCTAAACCAATCCAATCGGAATGCCCGAAAATCGAATAGTTCGTTATCTTCGACTTGTTTCACCGTTAGACTGGCTATCTTCGAGCACATGTCGCTAAGAATTGCACCTTCATCTTCGGGACAAACTGGCAGATTTTGGATCATTTGATCCAAGGCGGGAGCATCGAATCCTGATAGAAACTGCACGTAATACCTTTGAAGTACTTGGGAATATTTCTTCACTAGCGCTCGTAATTCTTCGCAGTGAAATAATAATTCCGGTAATTGACGATCGACTAAATCCTCCTCCCCTTTTCCTTTGCCCTTCCCTTGCATCGGCGGATTCACGCCGTGTCTTAAGAGCCATAGAACTTCGTCTCTCGCGTGGGAAAGTCCCATCAAAACCAATAATGCTTTCGGCCCTAACAGACCGGGTTGATCGGTTAAAATTAAACCTAGTTCTTTCAGTGCTGTTCTTAAAAATTTTCTCCTTTCACGATGTCTGTGGCCAGCTTTTTGTACCGCTTGCGAGTAACATTCTTTCACTTCCGACACCCTTTTACCGTACCCTTTTATACTTTCGAAAAATGTTTGTATATATTGGTGTATATAAATTACTTCATCTCTGAACAAGGCTAAAACCCAGCCTGATTCCAAAGCTGTGGTCCAAAGTTTACTAGGCTGTTCCTGACTTAAGAATGAATGACATAATGTAAATCCTAAAATGACCCATCTCTCTATTCTATCCAAGCTTAAAGTTTCGCAAGACATAGTATCTGTTGCTGCTGCTTTAAGTATTTTTCCGGGACTACCGACGAGGCTCAGCTTTTGATCAGCCCTCCACGTGTCCGCGGATAAGTTTCTCCCAGGATAAATAGGCCACAAAGAAGTGAGAGCATGCTTCAATAATTTAGAGTGTGGAACAAACTCCTCTGATAGCTTCTTTAATGGTGCATCATAGTCCATAATCATTTGACCCAAACGAGGAAAGCTAGGATCAGATTGGCTATGCACCATTTCATGGGCTGCATTAAATAATCCGAGTACCGCTTTACGATCCTCCACTTGTGACAAAAGTATCATCAAGCTCACATAAGTCACAACAAGATCCAAATAACCTTTGGTTAAATCAAAATTTATGGTAATATCCATGTGTACTCCGCAAGCATCCATTGTAGTTAAGAGTTCGCAGACATTATCTTTGAAGTCAAGCAGGTCAACGAAAGTATAATAATACAAGGATAGAGATTTAATAATCTCATTACGAAGGTTGGTAATCGTTTGGAGACCCTTAATGTCTATGTTGGGAAACTTCTTAACGATAGTCTTGATAGACGATTCCAAAGTTTTATCAGAGAGGAAACCTGGTTTTGATTTTGCATCACCGCAGGCTTTCTTTATATTATAAATGCGGGTTAACATTCCAATACCTCTGTCATTCAGAATAGTTAGCTTCTCAGCCAACTTCTGTTGACTAGGAACAATAGGTCGTGCCATGATTGTATTAATGAATATTGTTTCTTACGTGATCAACATAACTTAAGCCCTCCTTTGGTTTTAAATGACAGGAGACCCCACCCCTGGGGGTAATTCGTCTCACCGGATGCGTCTAAAATAGAACGATCTCTCTTTGCCTACAAAAGAATTTTACATGTTCGTAATGCCCATTAACAGAAACGTAGTATATAGCTATTTGCACGTTATGTCTTACCTTTCGTAACATTACATGATGGATTTAAATCGATGACACAGTAGAACGAAATTTCTGTGTACGTCTAGTACCGCGTGAAGTGCCGCTCTATTAAACGGGCAATGTTACCAATGGTTGCTAGATCACTAAACGGAACAACCGCTATAGTACTATCGGAAAGCACCAGAGGAATGAGCAGCACTATAATTGTTAATAATTATTCTGTATTACTCAATAAACTCATTACAATCATATATTTCCATATAAAAGTGCATAAGAGCAAGTTAATGGACCCAAAAACGGTATCGGCAGTTAGCGGCGGCGACCAAACTAATTTTTCACATATATTCACATTTTTTACTTTTTTCTGCATATTCATATAATTTTGAATCGTAATTATCATAACTCAGCATCAAATTGTTTATTTGTACACTAATAATTGACTTTTTTAAATAAATAAGAAATCGAAAAATGTGGCGCCATCTATTAGTGAACCGTTCAAGTTTGTCGTGAAATAGTCCAAACCTCGCGCCACTAGATGCCGCCAACGACATGAAATTATTCAAAACTTAAAATCTCTGCTTTTCTCTGCATATAAATGTAATTTTACATTCTGACTACCATAATTCAACTAGTAGTTGTCGATTAGTACACTAATAATTGTCTAATGCCTAGTTTTTTAAATCAATAGAAGTATCGGCAAACGTTGTGCCATCTACCGGCGCGAGATTTGAACTATTTCACGACAAACTTGAACGGTTCACTGATAGATGGCGCCACATTTTTCGATTTCTTATTTATTTAAAAAAGTCAATTATTAGTGTACAAATAAACAATTTGATGCTGAATTATGGTAATTACGATTCAAAATTATATGAATATGCAGAAAAAAGTAAAAAATGGGACTATATGTGAAAAATTAGTTTGGTCACCGGCGCTAGATGGCGATACCATAGTCGGTCCATTATTAACTTGGCCTTATGCACTTATATGTGGAAATATATGATTACAATGAATTTATTGAGTAATACAGAATAATTGTTAACAATTATAGGACTTCTCATTCATCTAGAGTAATTATACATCCCATTCATTGTTTTAGAAGGCTTGTTTATTAGTGTAATATGAACGTGGTACCATTTTTGTGTCCATTAACTGATTTTCTTGCTTTTATATACAGCAAAATATGAATGCAATGAATGTTATTAATAATAAACTATATTGTATCAATTATGAATTAAACGTTCATCTGGGAACTTTATTTTCATGTTAGGGTTTTCATTTCTAAATACTTCTTGAAGGATTAATTGATGTGATCACGATGTAGGATTCCTTGGAACGATAAATGAAAATTGCCGCAATTTATTAATAGGAAATAATGTTTATTATACAGTGTACATATTTATTAACTTCATTTATTTTATTTCTGTTATAAATTTTATATTAATAATTGTATTATGTTTTGCCGAGCGACGAATGCCTTGATCAGTGTGCGCTTAATCTATAACAATCTCCGTAAAAAGTATAGAAACTTCTGCTTTTTTATTTTGTTCGTTTGTTTGTTTTCCTTTCATCCCCTCCCTTTATCCTCTCCCTGTTGACCATTTGTCCGTACCCTCCCCAACCCCCCCACCCCCCGGTTCACCCTACATTGATCACCATGAATTATACCACCAAAGAGTATCGCCAAAATATGTTGCGCTGAAAACGGCATAATCGTTCGGCATATACAAATAATAGTACTGTCGAAGTTAAAGTAATTGGCGGTTTATGCATCTCCTTTGTGTGTTCATTTTTTTTTTTTCGCCAGTGAGACGCCATTTCGTCCGAAATGGCGCGTCCGCCGCCTTCACGCCGCACGTGGCCGCAACATTCTCTCTCAAACTTTTCATTTCTCGAAATACTTCACCCTAGGATTAGTATTTGTTATCAATTATTTTTTATAATATGCGTAATAATATAAATAATGTCGTTAATATACCTATAATGATTACCGTTCATTTTTTTTTTTTCATTTCAACGATAAACTATCTGAATGGTACATTTTCTTTGCTAATGGCCATGTCTGTTATAGCTAATTAAATAGTCTGTATGCGAGTTCCAAATGGGATAAGGTACGTCGTACACAGAACGTTATTTTTTTTTTTTTAACTTTTATTATTTCGGCTCGGCGTATTGTTTTGTTTTTTGTTTTCTTGTTTTTTGTTTTCCGTCAACGTAATCGTAAACGAGAAGGAAACAAACCAGGAACAAAGGAGAGAACTATTCGTCGAATACGGGAACACGTCTGTGGCGTGAAAATACGAACCTCGAGGAACCTTCCTTCGTTTAACGATTCGTGAGATTTTGTTTATTCTGGGATATTCTATTTTTTTTTTTTTTTGTTATCTTCTCTAGCGTTTATATTTCTTTTAAATGAATTCTATCGATTTTATTCCATGACTCTTTCGTCAGATAGGAACGACGAGCAATGTATTTTAAAGGTTGTTCTTCGGATTAACAATTGACAAAGCTGATAGGAATTTTGACGAACGACACGCTATTCGTCACGATCCTCGACGAAACGTAGGTTCCCTCGAAGTACGCTAAAAAATTCTCTCTTCCATTCTCTCGCTCTCTTTCGCTCTCTATCTCTCACTCGATCCTCTTGTACTCCCTCACTTTCTCTCGCCTCTTATTTCTCACACATGTCACCGTGTTCTAATGTTGATATATAAATGTACGACGTTTAATTCATGTTCAACCAGACTTCGTGTCAGTGTGTAATGTAATTTCGATAATTGTTCTTTTTTTTCGTTTCGTTTTGTTCTCTTTAAATGGTTTCTTGTTCTCGCTTGCTTTGAATGTATGTATCTAGCTTTCTAACATAAGTGTTAAGTATAATTACTTTTTTTTTATTTAATGTAATGTATTAGTTTTTTTTTTTGTTATTATTATAATAATAATAATAATAATCATCATCATCATCATCCCATAATAATCATAATCGATAACCATAATAATAGTAATAATAATAATGTGTTTATAACCACCGTCGTGTGAGCATGATCTCGCGCGATGATGCTGTTAATTCGTCATATTGATATACATTACATATTTATATTACACGTTCCTTAGGAAAATAATAATCCAAACTGACATGTCGTCCGTTCGTGCTGCTTTCCAAATTCCTTCTTCAAAAAAGCTTTCACATATTTATCTCTCTCTTTCTTACTTTCTCTCTCTCACAATCTCTCTCTCCTCTCCCTTTCCAACGTTCCTTCTCCATTCTCGCCCTCTGCCCCTATTTTCCCCATTTCTACCATTTTTTCCTCACTCTGTTTTTTTTTTTTTCTTTGTTCATTCATAGACTTCTATAACATAACAATTCTCTATCGCTAGTAGAAACGGCGGAAATCCTCTCGCAAACCTGGAACGAATTTCGAGACGGGACGCGTCAACTATCAACCAATCGCATCGCGGTTCGATATAACTTTGTTCCACGGCGTGTGTATGTATGTATGTGTGCATGTATGTATGTGTGTTGCAACGGTTCTTGCCGTGAAATTATTAACATATTCTCGCAACACCGCGACCACCGTTACCGTTCTTCTAGCGTGCGCTTAAAAATTTTACCAGCAGCTTACCGCGGCCACGAAGACGACCACTCGCAACCGCAACGGTTCGAAATCGATCTCGCAAATTCGAAATAGTGACGGATCAGCCCAAACGCTGTGCCATCCTTTCCTGTCACGAGTTTCCATGGTTGTACGTGCATTTCCGAGGTTATTGAAAAATAATTAACCGCTGCGTCGTTGGAGGTTGCGACGCTATTCGACGCGGCCGCCATTTCGTCGTCTTCGAGGCGTCGGTAAACCGCATCAACCCTCTCGTTCGATTCTCCCCCTTTTTTCTAAATACATATACATTATCGAAATATTTCTATAACCGCGTATGTCTCCGTAAAATTTATCGCGTTGATATGCTAAAACTCTTCCCCTTTGCTTACCATACTACCGTTATAAATTACTTCTTATCTACGCTTGCCTCTCTTTCCCGTTTTCACCGTTTTCCATTCTTTCTATCTTTTTTTTTTTTTATTTTTGCTCTTTTTTGGCCTCGTTGCTCTCAACGGTTCTGTCCACCCCTTCCTCGTCAGGTTCACTCGCACGTGCACTCTCTTGCAGACAAATTTTTTTCTCGGTTTCTTCGTCGTTCGACGTTGCGAGACTGTTCTTCCCTTTTCAGTCTGCATTCGATGCAACGACCCTTCCTCGCGTTTAAGCATAATCGGTAATGTCAGTAATAGCGACACTACGATGATAATGATAACGGTACTAGTGGTAATCGATGATCAATAATAATAATAATAATATATTAATTCGCAATAATATTTCTCGTCGTTCGACCAATTCGTGAATGTAACTTTTATATTATATCGTTAGGGGGGATTAATACTGTTGTACTTACAATAAGTTAGCTCGCGTTTAACACTCATCTTCCCAGCGTTTTACAAAAGTTACTCGAGCAGCCTTTCGCTCGTCGATCGCGATGCTGTGCTTTTCCATCGATTCTTCGCTAACTAACAATGTTTTAACTGGCGCCATATTTGTTTCGGCGCACGACGAGCACGTGGACTACTGGCGTCTACGGCGGTACCACGTCTTTCTATGGCGCCATTTGTTTTATACGTGCTTGCCATGCGTTGAAATAATTATGGTGTCCTAGCCTGATCGCGTTCAAATACAGAACCGATGCAATTTCGTTTATCTTTTATTTTAGTCGTAGACGCAATTGTTCGACGAAACCTTGAACAAATTATCACGATCTCTCGATTCCAAGTCGAAATCTTTCTCGCGTATTTCGCCAATGAGATATCTTGACTAGAATCCCTTCCTCGTTCGGTTACAAGTAGGGCTGCTGGGACTATTCGAATATCTTGTGGGTATTTGGGTACTGCGAATAGACTTAGATTACTCGAGTATTACTGCTTCGACGATTGGGCATAGTGTGTAAAATTGTTTGAATCCCATGGAAAAACTAATGAAATGTTTTCTTTTAGTCGTGACGTGATCAATTTAATGTTAAATTTAATTTCATATGTTTCGAAACAGACAATAATTTTGTTGGGTGTTTTTAATGAGAATAAAATATTACGGGAAGCATTCTTTTTATTCCACTATACAACATTATG